CATACGCGTTTCAACGAAAAGGCTGAGAAGGCTTCAAACAGTGTGCACGCTCCTTCTCGCCGACACGCCCCTATCAAGTGCAAGGATGACGACTGTACATACATACCGACAAACCGACACACAGAGTTAGTGGTTTATAGAATGTAAGGATATCTCGACTCTGTACGAGGGTCACTGGAATACCCATCGGCAGATTCTCTTCCAAAGCCTCTCCGACTCGCCAACGCACCCAAGGGGAGGGGGTTGCGCATCCACATCTGTTTTCAAGAAGGCCCATGCTTAGAACTGATGGGACCTAGTCGCCGCGGCCTGAGCCACCGAGGAACAGCCCTTCACAGAGGATACAATATCCTCTGAGCCCAGTAAGAAAGAAGGGGAAATATGAGTCGTGATGTTGGTAGAAGAAATGCAGGAGTCCGTTTCGCCTCTACTCAGCCCCGACTTGGGGGAAGGGATACGGAAGCGCTAACGAGTGATTCCAGCAACTTCATTCGTTCCGTCTTCCCATATGAAGGAAGGAAATGCAGGGAAAGAAGTTGACGATTAGCTTTGCGATTGCATGCCTGGGCTAATGCCGTTTGGACTCCAGCAATTTCGGCACCGAGCTCATTTTTAAATTGCCTAAGTCACCAAACCCGCTGAAAACATGTACACAAGGGTTATTTACCATCGTGATTACAATTATGACACTCATTCTTGGCGCTGGCGCCAAGGGATGACACTACGATTACCTCTTGGGCTCAGCCTTAGCGGAGCGCAGATAATCGTAGTGTCATCCATTAGCGCCAGCGCAAGAGTGAATGTCACATTCGTAATCAGGATGTTAAACTACTCCTAAATACAAGTATTGGTGCTAACGTATTTGGGGGGACCACGCGGCGCGCGGCGAGTGATGACTCATCGGCTCTTCACTCATCGGCATACTTGAAGCGCGATTCTAGCAGTCAAATTAGAATAAAACAAACAAGGTTCACCGGGAACTTGCTGAGAAATCCCACGGTAGCCGCAAACAAATGTTTGATCTTTTGTAGTCAACAATAGCAGTCAACAACAAACAGGCAGCAAAATTTTGTAAATGATTCAAAAATCTTCCAGCCCACAACTGTTCTTCGGACTTTTTAGGCGCTTACTGTAATTAATATAGCTAGGTCCGGGTTATGCTACATGTCTAGAGCCCAGAAATTACTGCTATTTTGCCAGAGCGAGGCAGAGAAGAGCAGATGAGTCGATCGGCACTCCCTGCGACGCGAGCGTGCGTGGTTCCCCCCCTCCCAAATACGTTAGCCCACCCAAGTTTTAGCGGATTTGGTGACTTTGGCAACTTAAAAATGAGCTCGGTGCCGAAATTGCCGGAGTCCAAACGGCAATAGCCCAGCCTTGCGACGTCCCATGGTTGCATGACGTGCATTTGCGGAAAGCAACATTTTACTTCACGTCGTGATACCTTTGGCCGATTCAAATTATTTTTCCCGTGTGCATGAACATGATAAGTGCTGGTTAAATCGTATTTGTTGTTACTATGAATGTAGAATAATTTTGTTCAGTGAAGAGTCGTGAAAGGTTTGCGGCTTTCTCGCGAAGTTGAAACCCGATTTATTCCGGCGATGACTGCAGTGGGTAGGCGATCCAAAGATGGAAGCATGTTGGATTCGCTCAGCTTTGCTGCTCCAGCGGATAAAGTAGAGCCGATACGGATCCGGAAAGATTATTCGCAGCAAACATTCGCAAAATTGAGAAAGGTGATCAATATTTGAGTGTCTAATGGTAAGCAAATTGTTGGCGTCTTTAAAAGGCCTCATTCAGGTGGCCTTTCTTCCACACAGTGATCGTATATTATGGCTCGGGTACTCGGAGGGACGATGTGTCACTTTGTGGAAAGAGATCCGATGACGCTTCCGAAGTTGTGGAACCATTCGACGAACTCTTCAGACTGGAGCTCGATGTCGATCCCTGTGATATGTGGTAAGCATCACTACCTTGTTTCATAAACCACAACTCCATATTGGGAGGGGTGAGGACCACGCAGCAGAGCGGATTTCTGCTCCCTTCGCGGATAGTACTTGAAACAGCCCATAAAATATTGTCAGCATATTTCAAGTGGGAAGTTGTGCAATTTCGAATAATAGAAAGGTGAAATGCACGCACCAACTGGAGAAATTGTCGAAATACATGCTTTTGCTGCCTATTTCCCGTATTATTTGATAAAGTGCCCTGAGAGTAAAGCGGACGCGGACTTTGGTCAAGGCAGTTTGAAGTACCATTTTGCACATAGAATGTGTTCACTCACGCCAAAGTTCCTTCCGTGCTGGCCCAAGAAATCCCCATTGAGTAGTTTTACTGCCTCTTCGAATTTTAGGCCTCACCTTATTGTATACCACTCTATGCTAGATTCATTCAAGTTCAAAATTCATGTTCTCCTCCTAAAATTGCGGGCTCACCTCGAAAACCCTCACTATACCAACGAAACACGCGGGACATAATCTCGGAGAGGGGGAGCAGAAGAGCAACCGGCCGCTGGTCATACGTTTGCACCCCACATCTTGTCGTTCATGCAATCTGTTAAACCTCGCTTTTGTAGTTCACTTTCTTCTGAACTTTCTTGTGTATCGCTTTCTAATGGAAAGATATTAGTGTTCAACAACAAGGATGACGAACTCGTGAAGGTGTGGTCCTCCATCTTTATTACAGGTCTTCTGGGCAGTGTTCCGAATGCTAGGACCTAATTCAATTTCTTCCAAATATGTTTCGGTTTAGGTCCACGAGTTTCCTAACGTCCATGGTAAAGGGAACTCTCGAGTTCTGTGTGAATTTGACAGTAACACTGTGATCAGGTGAGGGATTTCGAGTCAGTGCTATTGGCTCTTCTAGTTAATTTCCTTACGAATACGAATATTCAGTGGGTCGTCAAACGGATCTCTTGCAAAAATCGACATTGAGTCCGGAAATATCACCGTTATCTCAAAGGTACTTTCTTCTGTTCACCAGCGTTTTCTGATGCTCATCAAGCAGATGTATTCAAGCGCGATCTTTCTGTTCTGTGTTTCTGACAATGTTGTATTAGGACGTTTCATTTCGTTGTGAACACTGTCTTTCAGTTATCCCTTTCTTTTGTGATTAGCATTTGAACATCGACACTTGCTCACCATCGATATGCTTTATTAAGGGGAATTCTGGTACGCGCTCTCTTTGTACCCTGTCTGGGGGTACATTGCTTGCTTCTGGTCACTCAGCCGGTCACGTCTTGATATGGGACTGTCGTGTGGCGGAGCCAACGAAACCCACACGGTGCTATGGGGGTTCCATCCAAGCGCGACGACTCGACGCTGTTACAACACTCGCAAACCATCCAGCACAGGCAAGCTTGGTAAGAGAAAGCTTTCAATGGTTATCTCTTTGTATCGCATGTTCTGCAGAATAATCGTATTTTTCATCTCTCCCGAAATTTTTCTCGTTTTTTTGCGATATGGCGCGTGCGAATGATATGTATTAGGTTGGCTAATAAGTAATGGCCGTTTTTTTCAATTGAAAAATTTGTTCGAAAAGTGAAACGTTTTGCAAGCAAGTTATATATCATCTGATAGGAAACTTCTCGTAGTATAAGAATATCAAAAAGCTTTGGTTGAGGATATAGTTTTTGTGAATTTTTTAGTCGTTGAAGTTGGAAGTGAAGTCGGCGAAAATTAGCATCTTCGACAACTGCCTCTATTTAAAATTTCATGCTAATAGTTGAATTAATTGAATTTGAATTTGATATTCTAATACTACGAGAAGTTTGCTATTGAACGATGTTAAACTTGCTTTGCAAAAACTCTTCACATTTAGACATTTATAAATTGACGGCCATTACTTATTAGCCAGCCCACTAGCAGTGGGCTGGCTTATAAGTAATGGCCGTTTTTTTCAAATGACAAATTTGTTCCAAAAGTAAAAAAAAGTTTTGCAAGAGGCAAGCTTAATATCGTTTAATAGCAAACTTCTCGTAGTATTAGAATATCGAATTCAAATTCAATTAATTCAACTATTAGCATGAAATTTCAGGTGGAACAGACGTGAGCCTGCCCAATATTGGCAAGGTGAAGGTTGCCAACTTTGAAATTCTTGAAATTAGTTCCAAAGCGTCCTATTGAGATTCCCCTTGCTGAGACTTCTACCTCAACCTTTTCCGAATGTATGAGCAGCTTAAGCGATTTTAGCACTTCGAGTAGACGTAAATAGAGGCAGTTGTCGAAGATGCTAATTTTCGCCGACTTCACTTCCAACTTCAACGACTAAAAAATTCACAAAAACCAAATCCTCAACCGAAGCTCTTTTGATATTCTTATACTACGAGAAGTTTCCTATCAGATGATATATAACTTGCTGCGTGACTTTTTCCACGTCAAGATCTGACGAGTAATGGTGTCTTCAAGGTCTTGATAGAGTCCCCACTCGCCGGTACTGAGAATGACTTAGCCGTCACCCCGCCTTGCGTGGCATGTTTTTCGGATTGAAAACGATTACATGAAACTGCGTGCTGTTGCGAAAGTCGGCGTAATTGAACGTGTGTTTGTGCGCGAAGTTTCGGTCTGGAACAGGCCAATCCTAAGATTTTCCTACTGAATCCAACTGCTCAAGGCTAGCAGCGCACCTAGAATTGCAATTAGACTCTTGAGAAAACCAATTGCTATTTTGCCTCCATCTAGCTGTTTCGGTTCACAAATACGAAAAAGATAAATACAAATCTCATTGCTCTGGGTGATAAAACAGGCATGATGTCTTTTTTTTGGTTCTGATCCCTATATTGAAATCTAACAGTTTCCTTGTTCAGACTGTTAGCGCCCACAGTTCATCTTTGGCCGAGTTATATGGAAAAGAACTGGAGAATCGGCAATTATACCTTACCGAAGAATGCTCACCAACGAAAAAATGCAATTATCAATCAAGCGACTTGGGAGAGTTGTAGGAGCAGGACGTGACATTTGGGAGAACGTGTGATAAAAAGGTATATAGAGCTTGATCGAGTTCACTTGCTAGCTCGCGCTCCCTCGATTATTCGCTGGTCCCATTCTCCCGAGTCACTAGCGGGGAAACTCTATTCCTGGGCGTGCATTTTCTGAAAAGTCGAGTCGCCGCTTCTTCTTATCTCCTATTCTCCCCGGCTGCAAGGTGCGAATCCATCCTTAGAATTCCTCTTTTCAACTGAAAGCATTCTTGTGTTTCAAAAATGTACAGTGCACGTTGAACATCTTTTTTTTCTTTGTGTCTTCTTATTAAATGAAACTCTATATTTATTTGACGACGTTTCGGGCCACGTGGTTCCCGGGAAGAACCCGCCCACCTGGACCAAAACACCCTTGCCTGTAACCTATCAGTTGTTAAAGGGCTGTGTATTTCCAATAGTGTCGGTCACTTTAGCTAGAACTGATGTTTAAGTATGAGTTCGATAGATTTATTGTGTATGTATATTATAGACCTGAAGAAGGGCTTATGGCCCGAAACGTCGTCAAATAAATATTTCGAAGAGTTTCATTTAATAAGAAGACACCAAGAAGTTACTACCCAATGAAACTCAGGAACCCTATGATACTATCCGATTTTTTTCGTTGTCTTCATCTGGTTTGGTTCACAGTTCTTTTTTTCTCTGCTACAAGTAATGCTCACCATCATCATCATCATCATCACATAGAGACCATGAGTTGTATCCATAGCCTGGACACTGGAGAATAGCGAATTTGGGAAGATCTAGAAGTCACAAAACTATTAGATACATGTCTCCTCTGGTTCTGTAACTCTTCAAGCCCTCAGTTGATAAGAGTTGGAAACGTATCTAATCTGGTTTGCTATTGGCCGATCATCCAATTTTTGTATTCCGCAGTATTCCATGTTATGAACACAACACTCACCGGTGGATGAGTGTGATTCTTTAAATTATTATAGAACATAGTCTTTCACGTGCACAGTCGTTTTCTAAGTGGAAATTTTCAGTTATCTTTTGGAACCGATCTCGGTACTGTAGGTTTCTGCGATGTGAGAGGTGTAGCACACGATTTAGTCACAAACTCGTTCGATGTGGCCACTACGACCGTCACACAGGTTACCCTCATATAGTTGTAAACTTTCAATCATATTTTCTTATGCAACAGTATCATTCAGGTTTCCTTCCACCCGGAATGTGGGGATCATCTTGTTTGCGCATCAGCAGATGGAAGTTTAGTGCACTGGGACGTTTCATCCGTCATTACGTGAGCTTTTCGGACACATTTTTCGCCTGATTGTTACTGTCCTCTACCGCAGTGCTCCTTTATTTGAGTACTTACTCCCATTATGACGGGAGAATGTTCGCAGATTATCTACTGAATCTCAGAGTGGGTATATTGAGTGGGGCAAAAGTCCTGCAACAAAGTAGCATCAGGTTTTCAATGCCTTTTCTCTACCTACTAAAGCACGCCAGATTCAACAATATCAGGCCGCTTGCTTACCGCAGCCAACTTTGTCAGTTGGGCCCGTCGAAATATTCAGGAACTGGTTTCTGGAGTTTTTGACGAGTCAGTCTTACCACAAACCTAGTGGGTGAAAGCAGCACAACAGGGTGGCCATCTTGCCCTTTCGGGGAGAGAAAGTGGCTATTAATAGGTTTCCCAAAACTTCGTGACATTTTTGAACTCTGTCTTCGAGTCAAGTTTATTCCAGTGAGTAGCAATATTGATCATTGATGTATAATATGTCACCTTCATCGGCAACTTGTTGCCAACCACCAAGCAAAGAGTGGTTGCCTTGCTTCCAGAAGCTTTTTGGTTCCGTGTCGAGAAAGGCAGCTGGGTCATTTTTGAGGATGCTTTTGAAAATCGTATTTCTCCACCCAGAAGGTGCCCGCTAGGGGGGGGGTAGTTTAAATGGTAATCAGAACAATAAGTCAGGGCTATATGAAACTGTGATGGAATACACTAGCTGAGCTTCAAAATCTCGAGCAGTGTCATTTTCCAAATGTGTGACCCTGAGCTGTGGTGGAGTAGGCAAACATTGCTCGGTTGTGGGACCAAATGATGGGATTTTCATTCTCCCTCTGCAGTTAATTACAGGAAGGACTCGCTGGTTACCACAGCGAGGAGGAAACCCCCTGCTGTAAACTCCATGAATGGATTCACCCCCCCCCCACAATATCACCTTCCTACTGTATTGATGGGATTGCACGACCGGTTCTGCCCTTCCTGGAGGATCTAGCCATTGGCGCTTCCGGAGTGGTTCACCCAGAGACACCTACTCCTTATCCAGTCACAGTCGTAGTACAACCGTCTGTTTGGCGGGAGCGGAAGAGACGTTGTACAGAGTATCCACATGCCCTTCCCCTTGAGCTCAATCGTAGAATAAGTGGCAATCAAATCTTGTAACCCCTCTTCCGTCCCTCCCAAACCGGCAATATGATTATCTGCCAACAGGTGTATTGCTTTCACCCGCATTCCATCACTGTTCCACGAACACACTGAAAATTGGTCACTAGGAACTAGTTCCGTCATCTCCACCGCAAACCCTACCTGGGCAGCTACTGGATCTTCCTTGTATTGTTGACGTGTGAGCATTACCGTCACCTTCTCCGAAAAACACTTTGAAATGCGCTCCGAAATGACGTAATACTCTCGATTACTCGTCAGTAACCGAGTTCAGCCAGTAAGGTTGTCAGGTATATATTAAGTATGATTTCTTATGCTTCAAAAAACAACCATTCGTTCTGTGAGTATCTTAATCACTCTTTCACTTTTCTCTACTTTAGCTTACTGGGTTATTATAATATATTGCTTTTTTCAGCACCAACATTTCGTCTGGTACCCGTCACTCGCCATGGTTATCCGATTCGTTGAGTCAAAATGTGGAACTGGACACGCTACGATGTCCCTGTTTTGGAGCCGTCAATGGATTTGCCATAAAAGGCACAACTGTTGTAGCTGCTATTGACATGTGTATGCTGTACTCTTATGAGAACGTCTCTTTTCCTATAGGATCCAATTCTTGTCTTTTAGCACAATCTTAGAAAACACTATTTTCTGAAGCGTTTTCCTTACATTTGCCGTTTCGTTGATCTGTTTCCGAACTGGTCAATTTCAAGAACTATGGATTCTTCTTTGTTAGGCATTGTTCACACTCTGTGGTCCAGCGTTTCTCTGAAACGCGGCGGTTTGGCGAAAAGCTTGATACAGTAGTCGACTTCATTTTGGTTATGGAACATGTAACTTCGATGGCGAGCGCACCATGGAATATGCAGAAGCCCATAACCTCACCATCGTGGACACGAAAGTCCGTAGACGTGACACACACCTTGTACGCTGAGTATCACAGCTCCCAGGTCAAAACAGGTCGAGCGATGTGTTATGAGAGAATTAATTGGTGGCATTCGAAGGAAAAAGGCGCCTGCGATCTTTTGTAATGGATTAGCGACCGTCGCCACTGTCGACGAAACCCGGAAAAGTGCTGTCAAAACGATAGTTGAGGTTCTTTGCTCCGAACTCGGCACAATGAAGCTTGAAAGGCGTAGAAGTGAAAAGAAGGCATGGGTGTGAGCCTGATTCGTGAGGAGGAGAGGCGCTATCTCTTGTTTCTCGGAGACAGCTCACAACTGGCGAAAATACCAGTAAGCAAAAAGTGCGGCAAAGAAGGATGTGGCTGTGCGAAAGCTATCTACTTTCAATACGTCATGAAGAAGCTGGGGCCATGCGACGGTAAACGGCACATTTACCGACTCGCCAAAGTTCTCACCGCGGCACCGAGAAATGAAGTTCTTTGGTATCAAAGACAGCAAGGGCCATTTTCTGATATATCGAAAGAAGGTGCTGAGGGGATGGAGCATCTGCTTTGAGAAAATCTCCATGGTGCAACAGAGGCACGCACTAATACCTCGTGCCTCAGCAATACACGGTACTGTTCGGAAAATAACCAGGAGAGAAACAGAAGCGGCTCTGAAGACGATAAAGCCAGGCAAGGCAACAGACTCTGACGACGTGGCGGCCTCTCCTGGCCAACATGTGGAAGTCATACTGTTGATATTGTGCTTAACGGTTGGCGATGCTCTTCAATCAGGTCGTTGCAGAGAAGAAGATGCCCGAAGGGTGGAAGAGAGCACGACGGTACCGATCTGGAAGAAAAAAGGCAGCTGCAGACTGCTCAAATTATCGTCCAGTTCGCCTACTCTCGCATAGCATGAAAATTTTCGAGGGTGATATGCGTGATAAGGTCTAGCTCTCTACCAACCAGTGGCTTCGTGACCGGCTGTGGCACTATCGATGCTATACATGCCGCTTGGCTCTTGCTGTAGAAGCATTGTGAGAAGTAGCCGAAATATGGAAGTCTCATTGCTGGTATTCTGCCGAATGGTTAACAGTGTTTTTCAATCAGGCCATGCAGAGAAGAAAATGGCCGAAGTATGGCGAGAGAGCACGACCGTTCCTCTTTGGAAGAAAAAAGGCAGTCCTGCAGAAAAATTATCGTCGAATTCGCTTGCTCTCGCGCAGCATGAAAATTTTGAGCGAATTGTTGATAAGCGTCTTCGTGATATCGTCCAGCTCTCTACCAACCAGTGTGGCTTCGTGACTGGCTGTAGCACCATCGACGCCATACATGCCGCTCGCCTCTTGCTGGAGAAACATCGTGAGAAGAAGAAGCATGTCCACCTAGCCTTCCTTGATCTGGAGAAGGCATTCGACCGTGCCCCACGTGAAATTATGTGGTACGCCGGGTGTGCGTCCTGTATTCCGGCGCAGTAGTCGCGTGCCAACATCAGCCGACACTCTCACGGAATTTCCCATCAGAGTCGGATTGCACCAAGGCTCTGTGCTTCCCCCTTTCCGTTGCTTTTCTGTTCTGATGATATGATGCTTGCCAGTGAGGAGAAGAATGATTTCGAGCAGGAGGCGCAAGCTTGGTCCGAGCACTTAGCGAACTCCGGGTCTTAATGTCAAGAAAACCGAGTACTTGACAACCGACTGGAGCAATTCCAATTCTCCTAGGTTCAGAGGCCGTGAGCTAAGGCGTACAACAGCGTTGAAACATCTCGGGTGAGCAACTACGTCTGGTGGAATTCTGGACTCGTAAGAGAGCTCGCATGAGTGTGCAGACTGGTCTAGGTGGCGCTCTAAGGCTAGCGTTCTTTGCGACATGACGAAACGAGAGCGCCTGAAGTCGAGACCTATAGAACCGTGGTCCGACCCGTCGCGGTGCTGAACGCTGGCTTGCGATCAAAAAAGTTGAAGCCTGGCTTGGAGTGATGGAGATTGAGAATGCTGCGCTGGTTTTTTGAAAAACTTCTAAGCATGCACGCGGGGCACGCCACACAAAGTAGGGATGCGGCCTTGCTGGACTTCGGTATTCTATAAGGTCACAAAAATTTGAAACGAGGATGATACTAGAAGTAATAACGTTTACAGGTTACGCAAGGCATTCTAGAAGAGGTTCAGTTGTCAGGAGAGTGAAATTGTGACCAAAATAAAGGTAAATGAAAATAGCTTCCATCAATGCGCCGTGGTCCCCTTCAAGGATGTCAATCAATACTTAAATCCCCCTCACTAGCCTGTTCCGGTAAGTCCGTTCCTTTTTTTCTACATTGGAAAGTCCGGGTCGGACTTTCGGTAAAGGGGGGAGGTGTAAGCCGCGCCTCATGGCGGCGGCGAGTAAGGGTGACGAAGCCATGACTCATCGGAATGTTTTCAGGAGGCGTGAGGAAGCGGCGGAAGAGGCAAGCGAGGAGTCGACTGGAAGACGGACCGAAAGCCGGCACGATCCCTCTACCCAGGGCGAGGCCCTGCTCCCTTCTACGGCAATTCGATGTGGCTACTCTTCTGACTCTGTCAACTTCTCTTTAGCACTCTCATGCATATAGTTGTGTGCCTTTTGCCGTTTATATTTCATTTCTTGTTTCGTGTGGAACGTACCTTGTATTTACTCTGATTATTCGTATTACGAATTTCGGGTCGAGTTATTCCGTTGATCAATCTCAGATAAATCTAGTTTTTCTGATGACGAGTAGACTCACATTGAACGCACGTTCTCTGCGCGGCGTTAGCTTACTTTTACTGAATACAAAAGCTACACTGAATTTCCCACGCATGTCGTCATTGCGAATGCGATCCAAACGCGTGACGCCAACGGTCCAGCGCAGCATTTTCAT